GAAGTTCGCAACCTTCTCAACCGATTTCCTGAAGTCTTGGCCAAACCGCATGGAGTTCCCATGCGTCCGGTCCGACACAAGATCGAGCTGATAGAAGGTAGCACTCCTCCAAAAGGCTGTGTCTATCGAATGGGCTTAGGCGAATTGGAAGAGCTGCGTAGACAAATTGATGACATGATTGGGAAGGGATGGATCAAGCCATGCGAATCCGAATTCGATGCACCGGTTTTGTTTGTCCCTAAGAAAGGAAGCAAACTACGGATGTGTATTGAATACCATGGACTGAATAGAATAACAAGAAAGAATGCATACCCTTTGCCGCGTATTGATGATTTGCTTGATGTTGCAGGTGGGTGCAAGGTCTTCAGCAAGATTGATCTCAAGTCTGGCTACCACCAGATTGAAGTCGACCCTGCGGACCAGCGCAAAACTGCATTCAAAACTCACGACGGGTTGTACGAATTTACCGTCATGCCCTTCGGTCTCACAAATGCACCGACCACCTTTCAAAGTCTCATGGACAAGGTGTTCCGCAATCAGATCAATYGCTTTGTTGTTGTTTATCTGGATGATATACTAATCTTCAGCGAGTCGATGGAGGAGCACATGAGACACCTTGAGGAAGTGTTACATATCCTCAAGGATGCGCAACTCCATCTCAACTTGGAGAAATCTGAGTTTGGGAGGGACAACGTCATCTACCTTGGACATCGGTTGTCTGCTGCAGGCCTAGAGCCCGAGGCAACCAAAGTTGAGGTCATCCGCAAYTGGCCTCAACCGGCCAATGTCCGCGAGTTGCGTTCTTTTCTTGGTCTTGCGTCATACTACCGTAAGTTCGTACCCAAATTCTCTATCATCGCCCGTCCGCTGTCCAAACTGACAAGTAAGATTGTGTCTTACACATGGGATGGGGAATGCACAACATCCTTCCAAGCGTTGAAGGAGGCTTTGGTGAGTCATCCGGTGCTCCGCATTGCAGATCCTAAGCTTACATTCGTAGTAACTACGGATGCAAGCTTGTATGGGATTGGTGCAGTGCTGCAGCAAGATGACGGTGATGGCTTACGTCCGCTTGAATATTACAGCAAGCGCATGCCCAGTTACAAGGTAGCTGCTTCCACTTACATGCGAGAGCTCTATGCCTTGAGAGAGGCACTAGATCATTGGAAACACTACCTCTTGGGTCGTCATTTCAAAGTGTTCTCTGATCACGAGACTTTGAAATGGATCCAGACACAGATTAATCCATCAACCACATTGACCCGCTGGTTGCATGAGATTGATGCGTATGATTTTGAACTTAAGCACAAGAAAGGTTGTGGATGCTTTGTCTCGCCACCCTGAGTACATGACTTGCTTGTGGGTTCCTATGATCTCCGTAAGAATTTGAAGGAGGAACTCATTGAGCATACTGCCAAGGACCCGGAACTCAATCTCATCCTTGAGCAGATTCGGGCTGACCCTAGCAGTCAGCATGATTTCCATGAGTGTAAGGGTTTGCTTTTCCGACGTTACGGGAAGCATGACCGACTGTGTGTACCCAACCATGAGCCGATCCTTACTCACTTCTTGAACTCATGGCCGGAGTGGACACTTCTGCTGCAAAAGTTTGTATGGCCTGGAATGAAAGGAACGACACGAAAGTTTGTGGCTGAGTGTGAAGTCTGTCAATGCATCAAACCATCTCGGCAGAAGCCCTATGGGTTGCTGCATCCTCTTCCTATTCCTGATGGCCCGGGTGAGTCTCTTTCCATCGACTTCACGGACATGGGAAAGAAGAGCAGAAATGGATATTCACAAGTGATGGTGATCATTGACCACTTTTCGAAGTTTCTAAATCTGATTCCATTACCACCTCACGCCCCAACTCATCTTGTGATCAAGGAATTCCACAAACGGTATATTCTGCAGTGTGGGCCCTCGAAAACTCTTATGAGTGACCGGGACACTAGGTTCATAAGTGCAGATTGGAAGGACTTCACCTCCCAGATCTACGACATCAAACTCAAGATGACGTCTGGCCGACATCCTGAAGCCAATGGACTGGCTGATGAAGTCAACCAGACTGTGATCCAACTTCTCCGAGCTCTAATTATGCCTGATCAGAACTCTTGGGATGAGGAATTCCCGATTGTGCAGGGATTGTATAACAACTCCATACACTCCTCCACCGGGATGACACCAATCGGTTGGCAGATTCGCAATCCCCTATCCTACCTGTTTCCTTACCAGCCACCTGGCCTGACACCTGGCCAGCTAGGCTACAACGCTAAGTATGATCGTTTGCTCAAAGTTGCTGTCGCAGCTATGGAGAAGCGACGCAGTGCCATGATTAAACATGCAAACAAAAAGCACCAGCCTGATCCCTTCACAGTGGGAAGCTATGTTTAGGTCAAGATGTTTGAGTTTTCTAAAGAAGAAGGCATATCATGAAAGCTTCTTCCTCAGTACTACGGTCCATGGAAGGTGCTGAACCAAGTAGGCAATGATTCCTTTGGTCCTTCGTACACGATCGATGTGCCTGCTCACCTGCACACATATCCAGTCTTTCACGCATCGAAGTTGTTTCCGTATGAACCACCTGAGACATTTCCGTATCGAGAATCGATGATTCCTCGCGCAATCAATGGCGGCCATGAGGTAGATAGAATTGTTGAGCATAGTGGAAAGGGGAGAAACAGACAGTACAAAGTACATTTCCTTTACCACCCGTTGAATGACATCTACTGGATTGCTAAGAAAGACTTGCTGCAGAGTGCTCCGCGAGTTGTCAATGCATATGAACGATTGATTAGCTCTGAACATCAACCGAAATTCACTGCTACACTCACCCCTACGGAACACACCCGATCTCTCTTTGCCATCTACGCTTACGATGCATTATGCAAGGACTCTGATTGAGTTACTCGCTCGAAGGGACCTCGCTCTTGAGGGGGGGCTAGTGTAATGACCCGTCAAAACACAGACTGAGAACACTGCTGATTTCTGAAGTTCTGCCGATGGAATGGATGCCTTGTTGAGATTCCCGGATTCTGCTGTGTTTTCTAAGTCTGTCTGTGTGTGCGTGCTTGTGACCTGCGTGCCTGTCTGAGTGCTTGTTGGTATGAGTGTGTGTGTGACCCGCAAGGGTACTTGCTTGTTTGGCAGGCCTGTAGGGCCGGTACTTACCTGTGGCCGTGGCACTGAGGGTTGCAGCAGGGAAAAACACTCAAGTAGCGGAGGCAGGGGCCCGCGGCACCTGGAGCAGCGGAAAAACACTCAAGTAGCAGGTAGGCCGG